CTTTAAGCTAAGGGTCATACCTTAAAGCTATGAGGTTCTAGCACCCCACTATTTCTGGTGCTTGGGGCTGCAGGCCTTAAACAACAGCCTACATATCAAGCCTGCTGAACCCCAACGTCCTGCTGGTCGCCATCTGACGTCCCTAACTGGCAGGGAAGTTCTTGAAATTGAGGCTTTGACAAGAGATGCTGTAAGTAATTAAGGTAGGAGCCTTAATAATTAGACTAGGGTTCGTGGTTATATTATACGATAATTAAACCCTAAACCCTCTAAACCATAAACCCTATAATTCATACTAAGGAACCTCCAAAATAGTATCGGTAATGATTAAGGCCCCTATGTTAAGTAGCACGGTTGCCTTGCAGTCCTTTTTTGCCCGTATATTGGTCCCGAAACCTTAAGCCTTAAACTAACAATACCCACCCTGGTCCCGAAACCCTAAACCGCTGAGATCCCTGAAACTTCCTGTTTCAGGAACCCTTACAGATCCCTGAGAGAAGGCTTGGAAGAAGCACTAAAGCCTAAGCCCTTTACTCCTTAAGCCCTTAAATCCTTAAGCCCTAAACCCTCCTATACCGTAAACCCCAAAGCCCTAAACCCTAAACTCCAAAACCCTAAACCCTAAACCCATAAACCTTAAACCCTTCAAACCTAAACCCCTAAACCCGTAAACCCTAAATCCTTAAGCCCTGAACTCCTAACCCTTAAACCCCTAAACCCGTAAACCCTGAACTCCTAACCCTTAAACCCCTAAACCCCTAAATCCCTAAACCCCTGGAGCCGAAAAAAGACCTGAAGCCCTGGAAGAGGCGCTGAGGCTGCTCCGTGAGGGCAACCAGCGCTTCGCCGTCGGTGCGCCCATCTCGGGAAAGTTGTGCCTAGGCGGTTCAGGGCTTTCGGGGGTTCTAGCGCTTTAGGGCTTCAGGGTTTAGGGTTTAAGGCGGTTTAGGGTTTAGGGGTTGAGGGTTGAAGGCGGTTTACGCTTTGGGGTCTAGGCGCTGACTGCGAGGTCTTTTGAGTTTTTTTGCATTGTTTTTCGAGTATAGTAGAAAAACCGTCTTCACAAGTAGCAAAGCTCATTTTGAGAGTGCTTTGGTACAGGTTTAATTCGAAGCAAAGCTACAAAACTTAAACGGACCGACTCTTTCTAGGTTCTTAATTATGAACCCTCATAATATGGGATTTATAGGGCCCCGACGAACAAGGTAGGTTTTGTCGGGTCCAGGTATGCTTTGAAAGTCCTGCCAAGTCTAGGACATTTTCAGTTGGGTAGTTACCGTTATAGGAGTATAGAAGGTCTATATACCTTATGGAAGCCTTACAGAAGCCCTATATACCCTAAACTCTCCACCTGACCCTAAACCCTAAACCCTAAACCTTAAACCGGAAGCCTTATAGAATCCCTATATACCCTAAACTCCCCACCTGTAGTTTCCTTTATCCAAGGAGCTCCCAGATGCGCAAGGCCCTGGTGATCCTTGGACTGGCTCTAGGGTTTTAGGGTTACGAAGTTTAGGGTTTAGGGTGACAGGGTTTAGGGTTACAGAGTTTAGGGTTACAGAGTTTAGGGTTTCAGAGTTTAGGGTTACAGAGTTTAGGGTTTAGGGTGACAGGGTTTAGGGTTTTAGGGTTACAGAGTTTAGGAGTCCAAAATTGGCTTCAGTGCTACATTTTTTGAGGGTTTAGGGCCTTTGGGGAGAGTCTTTGGTTTCAGGGTGTTGGGTGGGTTCTGCTGTCTGGTGTCAGCTGCGCCCCGTGTGCGCACATACATGTGGATGCCAGGACCCGCAATAAAGGGGCCTTAATTCATAATTGCCTACACTAGTTTGGGGGTTCCTTAGGGGCTAAGTGTGAGGGCGAGCATCCCGGTGCTTCAGTGCGTATCCCCCAAAAAGGGTATTGAAAGTCTACCTCTATCCTGCTTTCTACGTCCCAACCCTAAACCCTAAACCCTGAGCCTCCAAAGGTAGTCTTTTGTTCTTTCCGTGTCTGAGGTTGTTTAGCGCATCTTTTCACCAACCCGGTTCTGCTGTAGAAGGGCTGCTTGTGCTGTCCCAAAGGGCCCAAAGAGTCAAAGGTTGCTATACCGGCCTTAGTAACCTTAGTAGTTCGAAGTTCGAATAGGGTTTTGGGGTATATTCTCTTATAGGGAGCCCCCCCAAAACAGTAAGGGTCCGAAAGGTGTCGTTATGGGGGGCATAGTTTCCCATATCATAATGACTCCTAAGCTAGAAGCCCAAACTTCGACTGTATAGGTACTTACGACCCTTTGGGTGTTGAGCTATCGGCTTTGGGTTCAGGTTCTCTGGCGGTACTCCTCCTACTTCTTGTGCTTCCAGTTTCTGCCGTTTCTTCTTCTTAAACTTGAACCCCGAAGCACACGGTAAAGCTCCAATGCCCTCAAACTTGAAAGCGCAACCGTGAAATCTTACTAAACCCGAGAACCCTAAACCCTATTCCCTGAACCCTAAACGTGGGCTTTGGAGTACCATACTTTAATACTTGTTTTTGGGACCTGTTCCTTAAAGGAACCATTACGAAATAAAAGGCTATACTTTTTTTCTCCCTGGTTACTTCAAAGCCCAGAAACCCCCTGCAAAAGACTTTACGAGGAGAGAAGGGCAAGCTCCTCACTCGGCGATTTTGGGCCCGGCAGATTCGCTGGCGCCTTTAGAATCCCAAGTGGCACTCCGAGGGGAGGTGAGGGGAGTTCTAGGGTTCTACTAGGGTTTAGGGTTTAGGGTTTAGGGTTTAGGGTTTAGGGTTTATGTAGGATCTAGGGGAGTTGAGGGGTTCTACTAGGGTTTATGTAGGGTCCAGGGGGGCTGAGGGGAGTTCTAGGGTTTAGGGTCCAGGGGGGTCAGGTTTTGGGGTTGAGGGGTTTTAGGGTTCAGGTTGTTTCATGGGGCGATAAGGGGCCGGGTACTCCCCTTAAATCCTCAACGGAAAAGTGTAAGAATCAGAACCCCTAGACCCCCCCCCCCCCCCCCCCNNCCCCTAAACCCTAAACCCCCTGCCATCCCCCAAGTTTGCGCCCCCTATTTTAAACATCCTAAGCGGTGAAACCTCCCCAAACCAAAGGCGGTTTAGGGTTTAGGTTGCAGAGATAGGGCAGTAGTGCCCATTATCTATAGGGGCCACTGCGGGATCTAGTCATTTGGGTGCCTTCATAGGCAGAATCTCTAAGATTTTGATCGGGCTCGGGGGGTGTATTCTGGTATAGCTATGTAGAGACATAGTATTTTGCTAGGTATACTAGCACTACGTAGTTATTCCGACCCCCCTGTATATGAACCACTCTTAGGTCGCGAGAGCCCAAGCAAAAGACGGGTCGAAGCAATCGCCTCTGAACTGGTTTAGGGGGAAGGGTTACCTTAAAAAGAGAGCGAAGGATTCTGGGTATAGGGTTCAAGGGCTTGCAGGATCTGGGAGGTTTAGGGTTACGACGACGACGACTACTTCCACTT